TCCAAGAAATGGCGACCGCCGATGATCCTGAGTCTAGGATGGCAGCCGAGGGGTTTCCCCAGACCTCACAGTCACACTCTACGCTTTTCCAGGCTATAGGATAGGCCCGGAGGAATACCTCGGGTTTTTCCGAGGCGGAATCTACGGTCTGGATCATCCCTATCCGGTTGGCTTCGTGCACCTTTGAGGTCGAGGGCTGTGACTCCTCGTTTGTGGGTGGGTCCCTTAGGACCGGCTTTTTGCCCTTTCGACTTTCCTCGAATCGGCGCTTGTTTTTAAAACACCGTTCGATCAACTTTTCGTTAGCCGCTTCGGAAATGGTTAGCAGATATGGAATAGGGACGGGGATCCGAAGATCCAGAGCCTTCAAGACATCCAATACGTCGATATGGCCATCCTTGTATTCAGGACCAGGTACCGCAAGATCCTCGAATCCTGGTCGCCACGGCCTGAGGTCGCTTTCCTCGGTAATTCGTTGGACGTGACGTATCACTCTGATGGTCCCGGGTTCGAACATCGCAGCCACCATATACTTATCGGGTTTTATCTCAGTGGCCGCCGGGGTCACCATCTCCGTCCTTCTTGTGTCCATTACCGTGGCTACCCTCCCCTATCCTGCAGCGGTGGGAGCAGCCAGCGGGATTTGGGAAGGTCCGGTGGGCCCGCCCTGAGTTCGGGGTTTCGGACAATCTTTCGCAAGGTGGCCTGGCTGATTACAGTTATAACAGCGTAGGGGTGGGACAGCCCCGGCCACAGTCGGTCTTATCATAGGGGTTCCGGCAGCCATAGCCGCCTGTTGCCGTTGTGCGGCGGCTATGCGATGTCGTTGTAGACCTTGAACAAACTCCGTCAACGGGGCTACTACCGTAACTAGTTGGGCCGCGACTTCTTTCATGGATACTTCTTCCTCGCCCCGGCCTCCTTGCGTTTGACTAGAGCGACGGGAGGCCGAAGCAGAGGAAGAAGCTTTTCCATCCGAGCCTTTTTTTTGCCGGACCCAACCCGAAGCGATCTTCGAACATTCGTGTCGTAGCGGAGTAGCTATTGCGTCGAACACCCGAAGGGTCATCTTCGTCGGATTCTGAGTCTAGGCCCACATCGTAATTTTTTTTCCCGTACTTAATTGCGTACTGAATTAGCTCCGCCAGGGTATGTTCTATAGGGTTGCATTTCTTGCGGATCTTTTTCCGCAGACAAGAATCTGACAGTCCTCTGACGAAATCAGTCCGTACCATTTTCTCATCCACCCCGGAGCGTTCGACTAGATACGTAAAACGTTCAGCATATCTAGCCAAGGTCTCCCGAGGCTGCTGTGTGTATTCCTTTATTAGACGGAGGCATTAACCTGGTGCGACGTTATCAAATCTATCGAGAAATTTCCTCTGGAAGGCTGCCCAATTAGTGAAGGGGTTTTGTCCGCACCACTCAAAAGCGGTTCCGGCTAACCTTCCGGGAATTCGTTCTTGGAGCAACTGGTCCAACCAGCCCTGGGCTTTCAAGACAGCTAGCCAGCTGCGAGGATCGGTGTCATCTTCAGAAAAAATGGGAACTTCGAAGGGAGGAGGTACAAAGTATAGGGGATGATTGGCCATCCCCGCGTGGTTGTCGCCGTCGTTTTCACCCCCGATTCCGGGTTCCACCATCTCGGGAGGCGGGTTTCCAGCCCGGCCTCTCGCTCGATTCTGATTGCTATTCGCGGGTCTCCGTCGACGGGGAGCCAGCCTACTCAAAAATGCAAAAATTCTAGTGAAAAGATCAAAAAGAAAAAGGAGAAACTTTAAAACAGGGTAATCGTCCTAGGAAAACCTCGGAGCCGAAACGAATCAGCTCTGATACCAACCTCACGCCCCCTCCCGGTTTCCCGTACGGGGTTACCGATCAGAGTTCTAGGAGGGGCGTGGCCGAGGATTTTTGGCCGTAAGGGTTGAGTCTCCCGGACGGAACGGGAGGTTCTCGTTTCTTGGCCGAGGTTTTTCTCGAAGTCGAACTATCGTCGCGAAGTCCCGCGGGGGTCGGATTACTCCGAAACGATAAAATCAGAAGGGTTTCTGTGAAAATGAATTGTAGTCGTGCATCGGGACGGGAATAGGCATCATGGGTTCCGGGGATAGGTGGTGGGTTCGAAGCCTTCAGGCGGCAGACGGCAAAAACTCCGGCCGTCATGGGTTCCGGGGATAGGTGGTGGGTTCGAAGCCTTCAGGCCTCGTCATCGGCCTCACGAAGTGGCCGAACCCTCGGGTCTTTTGCTATAGAGGTGGTTGGTTCGAGGCCTTCAAGCCTCGGCGTCGGACTCATAGAGCGTGCGCGAAAGAGGCGGGAGGACTCACAGGCATCTGAATTCGAAATTGCGCGGGCAGCGCCCCCCCACTACGGGAAAGCTCGGGGAAACGTGTCGCTCCCTCGTAACCCAGGACCAGCCGTCGCCACGAACACGAGTCCCCCTGGCGACACCGGTGACAATCAAACTGCGGTCGCCACGTGGCGTGAGCGGCCGACCAGGGTAAAGAGGGTAAAGAGGCGGGAGGACTCGCAGGCATCTGAATTCGAAAGAGGCGGGAGGGTAAAGAGGCGGGAGGACTCGCAGGCATCTGAATTCGAAATTGCGCGGGCAGCACCCCCCCACTACGGGAAAGCTCGGGGAAACGTGTCGCTCCTTCGTAACCCAGGACCAGCCGTCGCCACGAACACGAGTCCCCCTGGCGACACCGGTGACAATCAAACTGCGGTCGCCACGCGGCGTGAGCGGCCGACCAGGGCAACACCGTTAAACCCGTATAAGGCAATATTAGAGTCGGAGAATCAAAGCGATCAATCTACACAAACCCGTTCCCCCTTATCTCACAAGCCCGAGGGGGGTCTTGCCAACACACTTGCTCCGTCCGCATCGCAGTAGACGTTGTCGTCATCTATGATGGGGAAGGTCGGTAGCGAAATGAGACGATCGGAGGTACGTGATGAACACGGGAAAGACCCCGCGTTCCCGGTCATCCGAACCAACACCGAATCCATACAACAATCGTCGCAACGCTTCTCTCAAAAGTGGGTGCGTAGGGGGAGGATGACGAAATCTAAGCTTTCTCCCCTTGGCGGGGGCGTCGACCGTCCGC